ACCACGGGCGCAGCAAGTGGCGTCGTGTAATCGGGCGGTAAACGAGTCGCTCTCAAGGAAGAACCACGCTCGCCACGGGGAAAAGTTAATCCACCGTCAAACAGGTGGATACCTATAGGATCCATTTCAATGCGTTGCCCTCCCATGGCCTTGTGAAGCGAAAACAAATTGTAACCCATTCCCTCAACGTGATACACGTTGGTGAGCTTCACGCAAAAATCGTTTCCACCATTGTGGAACTTGACGTTCAGGCTGCCGATACCAAGCACAGGCATCGTCCTACCATCGCCAATCACTACTCGCTCTCTACCAGGCGGAGGAATCATCACATCGTACATGCACCTCGGGTCACCGGTGGTGTGATTCGTGGCGCCTGAGTCTGCAAGCCAAGTTTCGTCTCCTACACTCTCATCAAGGACGTTCATCATTGCATATCCGTCGTCCCTTCGCTCTACTAGCACTCCATTTTCAGACTCACTTGGAAAAGCCCACACCACACACGCATGTAAATCCCCACCAGTCGATGGAGACGCTCCGGTCGAAGGCGCCGGAGGAGCGTACGGGTTGGAGATGGGCTGCTGCTGTTGCACGGGGGGGGGAAGGTACTCCGGCTGCTGCTGTTGGGGCGAGTAATGGTAAACGCCGCTCGCGTGCGTCACCGGATTTTGGTAAACGCCGCTCACGTGCGTCACCGCATGCGCCCCTGTAGATGGAGCTGTCGTCGCCACCGCCGTCGCTCCTGCTGCTCCTGGCGCTACCCCCGGGTAACCCTCTCCGCCGTATTGCTGCGCCGTATTTGCCTGCCCATACGAGTGTGCCCAAGGCGGCCGCTGGCTGTAACCACCGGCCGGCGGCCGGGGCGGCGGGTGCCTGGGCGGCGCGTTGCCTGCCGGCATGCCAGCTGGCCTTCCGACATCAACACGCGAAGGGCAGAACAGGTGGTTGTGGCCGAGTTCACCGCAGTTCTCACACCGCTTGCGAGGGTCATTCGGGTGGATGGGAGGTTCATTTCCCTGTGGGCGGTACATGTTGGGGGGGTAGGTGCTGTAGTCGTAGCCTTGCTGAGGTACAGGGTAGGCGGGGAGGTTGCTGCCGGGCGATCCCTGGTGAAAAGGGCCCCTGCCCCTCCCACCGGAAGCGGCGCCACGTCCCCCGAATCTTCCTCCTGCCGGCTGCTGCTGATGACGTCCTCCTCCAGAAAAGCCCCGGCCCCCATGCTGGGGCCCGTGCCTTCCGCCGTAGCTCGCACCTTGGCCGCCCGAGGGACCTCCCCAACCCCGCTGCAAGCGACATTCCTCGTTGCTGTGGGACGGGGAGTTGTGGAGGTCGCAATATTTTATTTCAGGCGGGTACGACGGCAGGTATACCTGTTGCTGCTGGTTGAAGTACGGCTGATGATGATGCTGTGGCTGCTGCGGTTGTTGCTTCTGTTCCCGCGCTGCCGTCCTCCGTTGTCCTCTCGTCTTCCCCGGTCCCCCCGTGTTCCCTCCCCCGCCACTACGGTTCTCACCGCCAGTGACGAGGGCATAAGCCCCCACGCTCTCCTGCTTCTTCTTCCTTCGCGCCTCCATCTCCGCCCAAGCATTCACTATAATCCGTTCTACTCTCTCCTTCTCTAGACCGCTCTCGGACATCAGAAAACCTGTGTAGACATCATATTCGGGGAGGAGGTTGCGCACAAGATGTCTGTTAGCATCATCCTCTGTAATTGTCACTCCGCAAGATGATAGCCTTTGCCTCAGCACCCACCCTCTCGACAGGTACTCTTTCGGGTGTTGTTGAACCCCTTGCGTCAACTCCTGCCACTCTAGCTGGAGGCTCGTCTTTTCTGTGTGGGCATGCACTTGAAAATGATTTCGAAATATTCGCCATGACTCCGTTGGGCAACCACTAGAGATGATTGCTGGTACGATCGATGCAACTTGAATCTTTGCCAGTATTAACTGCCAGGCCTTCATGGCCTTCTCTACGGCCTTCCTACCATACTCCTCCTTCAGTTTGGGAATGTCTGCATCCGACTTCCCCACCCTGATTGTCTCTTCTGATACTATTGCATTCAGGCAATCTTCTTGTTGCAACAGCATTCGAAATTGGCTCTCAAACACCTGTACTCTAACTTGAACATCGCCACTGGAATCTAACACACCCGTAAATGGGGCTACATGTATTACAGGACTGACACGGATGGTGTCCTTAGGGGTTACGACTTCCCTGGTTTCCTCCCCCGGGGTGTTGGTCCTTCGCATTGCCCGTGCGAACGAATCAACGAGACGGTCTTCCAACGATCGTGGCTGGTCTTCAGGTTGCGGGTTCAACGCTGTTCCAGCCGGCCGAGCATGCCGGGGATCGCCTCCATCGGGGGGCATGTCCACGCTCTCTGAAGCGGGACGCTTTTCTTCTTGTTCTTTCATCTTCTGTTGTACTTTCTTCTCCACCTCCTCTTTGATGTGCGCCGCTAATGCTTGGCGATCCTCCTCAGTATAGCTGCTGAGGTCGAGGGCTTCCTCCATAATCTACTTCTCTAGCCGACCCTTTTATAGCTAGCCTCACCTCGGGATCCCGTATGATATCAGCACGCTAGCGTGTTAGGATGATCCGAACTGGGGGTAGCTTGTCGCAAGACGTGTGTTGAATAGGGTGTCGGCAACTCGGCGAGCTCGCGCCAAGGAGGAAAGACGTGTAGGGTTTGTTGCATAAACTTCTTCTTCACATGAACTCACATGAACTTACATAAAACACTGAACGCACGCGTGCACGCACCACCATGAGGGGGCGACGCAGTATACAACAGGAGTACCTTGCACATCCTGGAAATACATTCCACGTACCACACAATCCTACAACCACTTGGCATTGCTACAAGTATATCTATCAATTGCTACAAAGGGCGTGTCCGTGCTCCCTGCGTTGTGCAATAGGTTGGGTAAAACGTCTTCCCAGACGCACCGAATTTCCACCCCAACCATGTAAGGAGATACTTTCCGTACGCTTCACTCTAGTACATGTGTGTAATAGCGAGCACCTTCGTGCATTCGTCACAACACAAAATGATGTTGTCCTATTCATTTGGTTGTTGAATCTGTAGTACTCACAACTAATGCTGCTGTGTAGAATATGCAGCTTTGAATTTTCACTACGTTACTGTATCGTTGTCCAGCTATCACTTAGCAGTGTATTTTCCATTTCACACCAACTGAACTGGGGCTGAGGACGTGAGTTTATTGTTTGTTTCGGAACGCAAACCAGTGGACCTCCCACCTATCTCGAGAAAAGACCCGCCACTGGCCTACGTTTCACTCTCATGTAATTCGGATGATGTCATCTAGCTGGAAACACGGTTCGAACAATATGTCGACCAAGGTTATTGTCATTTCTGGTGAATATGCCATGGACCGAAACGTAGGCTTGAAACGCGAGGCTTTGCTACGGTCCTCGAAATGCCTTGGCGCTTGTTCATGTGAGCTTCTGGCGATCGTTTGGTACCTCTCGCAGCACACAGAAACAAGCGACATGTATGTTTTCCACTGCTGAGTACGTTTTGTTGATTCATACTCACCGTCCTCGTTGCTGAATTATCAGTGCACAGCAGTACTTTTGTTCGCCTTAACTTGCACTTCGATTCTACTAGCGAGACATATCAAGCAATATTCATCTGATAGAGCCCTTGCTATGCAGCAGCGCCGCAGGCATGGGGCACAATGTCGAAATTGCGGATATTGTTCACTCTGGCTTACCAGGCGATGACTGCTTCGGTTTTACACAACGGTTGCATAGCAGAACTTACTTACATGTGTTTTGCCTCGTTCATCCAGATATTTTGTCTTGTCTTGAAAAATCCCTTGTTCGTCGTGACAAACGTTCAGGGGTTCTGCCGCCCAGTTCCACTCACGACCAAGGAGGCGATGCACTTGATGCGAGATGCGGAATTCACTCCCTTCGCCATTGCGTGACTTGAACTGCACGTCCACATAGCTCTATATGTTGCCAGCAACGCCACGGACCTGACGGACCCTCAATGGCAGGAGTGTCGATGCGATCAAAGTTGGTGCCGCTTGATAATATGCCCTCGTCGACAGATACGCGAGCGAAATTCGGATGTGTGTGGCATTCCCTCCGCAACCACTTGTGAACGAAGGCTGCGCGGTTTAGATTCACCTCGGTGTCGTTTCAACGTTGCACGATACGGGCGCGGTGAACAACGTAGACCACGATTTTGTAGTCTTTCGTTCTATCATGGCTCTCTCTCGCTGGTTGCATGTTTCTTCCTTTTCGTACCTAGCGCAAGATTCTTGTCACGACGAGGGGAAGAAGAGTCGGCGGAGCACGCAGAAGATGACTATATGGCGGGAGTGTCCAATAGGGAGGCCATGGTGAGCATGGCGAATTTCCTCGAAAATCACGGTATGTGCCTGTCGCGAACGGCATCTAGTATGTGTGTGATTCACTTCCCTTGGCACATCGTAGGGCAGTCCGCGAAAGACGTCAACATCACCTTGTCTCCGTTCTCTTGTGTATTCCGGTGCTTCGGGATAGACTGGCATTCTTGAATCTGGAAATATGTGGAAGGCACATTGATAGCGATTATCCAGCTCCAGAATATCAAGACCGTGTTCACCGAAACCTTGCCAGGTTTTGCTTTACTCCCTGCTGTTGTGAAATAGCGTGTGGCATCCTTCAAGCGGTTTGGGTAGAAGATTGAAGACATTTTTGGCGCTGGTCAATCTGGCACCTAAAATCCGAAGTAAAGAAGATGAAATTTTTTCCTTCACGGCACGCAAAAAGCCTGACGACAACACAACAGCGGCTGTTTCACTTGCCGCGGTTCTGTTACCCGTACTGGTACTCCAACCAAATACTATAAAGGGGGGAACCACGACCGCGAAGAACGATTGAAGTCTATGTCACACCGAGTGAAGCAGTTAAAAACGAAATACGTTGCACGCCAACTACAGGAGAGAGAGATCCGTCGGCTCCGCGAGTCAAGCGTAACATCGGACGGGATGTTGTCGTGCTACACGCCGTTCCTCCTTGCAATCGTGCGCCGCCGGGTTGCCGACACGGCCGCGGCGAGGAATGTCACGGCGGAAAAGGGAGCGGCGACGAAGGCAGAGGGGGGGGAGGAGGACGACGAGGAGGATGAGCTTCTGGAGAATGGTTCGGCTTCGGCCGGTGGCGCTGCCGACGGGGATTGTGACGAAGCTAGAGTTGGCAGTGGGGGTGATGCACATGACGAAACGCGACTCCATGTGGTCCAGCAGGACGGCGGGAAGGTAGAGGCGACGGATTTCCGCAAGGATGGAGGGCAAGGTCGGGGGGCTACCACTGCTGCTAGTGTTTCTCTACCCGCGTCATCGTGCCCCCGGGCTCTTTGCACGGAGGCCTTGCGGGCACTGTCCGAGTATGCCGTGCTCAGTGCTGGGCTCGCGGCGGCAGAGGTGCTGCCGCTGGCGGAAGGCTTGGCCAGCGACACTCTTGAGCACCCACAGGTGTGACCGTTGACCTAGATTTTTTCCTATTCTCGTTGCACAAGTTGAAGTCAAAACTCTACCTCCCGCCGGAAGTAGCGCCAGGTCGAAGCAAAGCGATTCGCATTGAGCGCCGTGTTCGTATTTCTGGAGTTCCGCTACGGTTGGTTTAAGATACATTGCTTCGACACGTCCGGGTAGGCCTAGGGAGGACTGCTTTGGAGGTACGCGAACGTCGTATATCCCATCCTGACTCTACCCTGTCACCTTGAAAGGTTCGCAACGCCGCGGTTGGCGTGCTGACGAGGAGGGAGCTAGCCACCGATGAGATCGCCGCTCACGCATGCAGCCTGCTCGAGGACGAGAACCCTTGTGTTCGCCGGGAAGTCCTCGTCAGGCTAGGTCAGCTCATGAAGGAGAGCAGGTGAGGTGGGGGGGTAGTTGGTAGTATGAACTGGAGCTTTTGGCAAGGCGTTACGCCGCATGTGTGGTGCTACCAAGGCCGCGTAGTCAGGTGTGCGCCCGTCCATAGTCAGTCTACCTTGGTGTTTCACTCCATGCATGGAGCTATGCCGTGTTTTACATCGGACAAAAACTGTGATCCAATGGCAGGCAACGGGACGTGCCCGAGTGTTTTCCTGTCCTCTGGGGCGGTACACCCAACCGCTTCCTCTCACAATCAGGGTTTGGACCAGTGAACACCGGCGCAACCCAACGCACTTGTTTCCCGTGCACAACAGGCCTCCCGTAAATGGCGATAGATTTCGAATAGAAGTAATACTTATATCACGGTATTTCTGCTCAACACGCCGTGTTTCCGAAGGACACGCCCAACACTGCATGCGGTTTGCTATCACTCGTGGGCGCAACTCAAGCACGGTCCTTCGGCGCGAACACGAATACAGGATAAAAACTGGACACCTTTCTCGGTTTGCCCTGCTGTTGGTGGATGTTTCGGAGGGGGTTCGTCAGGCGGCACAGAAGGTCTTCATCGACCATCTGCAGCCGCGCCCGGACACAGTGTGCAGGTAGCCGATAATACACCACCCTGCACATGTGTAGGGTACCCGGCGTATTGCATCACGATGCGTAGACGGGTGAAGAGTGTGCCATGAGGAATCGGGCTAAACGCCTATATCGAAGTATTTGAATACCTTCGGATTTCCATCGTAGCCTCCCATGCCACTCTATATGCGTGGTGTTGGCTGAATTACCCCGAACGCGGCAAGAAGATAACAAGTTTGTCCCAGCGGAAGTGCGCCGTAGGTTGTACAATTCCAAGGCCTCATCTAGGAAATGTAGCCTGGTAGGCCTACTCAAGGCAAGGGTGTGGTCCACACCATTCAGCCGAAGAGATTCCGCCTAGGCCGTCTAGTTTTTGATAACGCCGTCCTTGCGTGCATGAGGTTGATACCAGACAACCTCGTCGCCCGTTCAAATGTTGGTTTCTGTCGCGCTCAATAACCCAATCCCCGGCCAACACTTAACAATAACAACCACAAGAGCAACAATAAAAAAACATGACCGTAACCACAAGCACAACGACCAGGTGCCTCTTCGAGACGTTCTTCACTCTCGATGCCGAGGAAGCGGTCAAGCGAAAAGTGCTGCAGCGCCTCGTCGCCGTGGCTCGCGAGGCGGCGCCGGGACAGGGGCTCGAGTCTCTCGGCGGCGCCCTCGTGCGCAAAGCAGCGGAGACGGGGGACTCGGAAGCGGCCTTCTTTTTGTCTCTGGTCCCGCCGACGGTGAGGAGCATCATCTGGATAACATTACATACCTAGTAGATCTGAGGTTGACTGCAGAAGGTTTGTTGGAGTTTAAGTACCTCTTGTGTGTTCCGTCGGGGGGTGTTAACGAACATCTCCATTGGGTCTTGTGTGTTGGCTGCCATCGCGTGGATCACACTACTTCCTGCCTCAGGGCAAGGCGTCCGAAGGGGTTGGGAATGATCCCTAGGGAGAGCATCGTCGGTGCAATGAACAAAAACGATCCTTATCCCAACCGGGGCTCGCTATGCACAGTACTGCTCCTGTCAAGCACGCGTGGACGCACGTCTGTGAGTACTCCCTGGCTGTTGCCAAGCTTTTACACACCCGCACGTCACAAGCCAGCACCTGAAATAACAAACGCTGTTCCCATCACACCTAGCGCTCAAATCGTTTAACTATCTCTATTGCGTTGCAACCGGGTCCCGTGGCCCCTTCGCGTGCCTCCATCGTTCGCACCCACACATAACAAGGCGACCGGTACAATCGCCATCTTTCCGCACGTGTGCCGCCTCCGCTATGTAGGTGAACTCTTTCGAGGCTGCGGAGGTCGCGCTGAGGCGAGGGCAGTTAGCTCAATCACCTCACGCGACGATATTCCTCGTGGCGACACACTTTTCAAGAGGAGCACAGCGAGGAGCCGGATCATCGTTAGCAATTACCGCTTCCGTTGCCGGGAGAGGTGGCGGGGCCCCCTTGTCGAAAGCACAGGCGCTCGAAATGGCAGCCCAGATCGGATCGCTTGCCTCCCGGGGGGCTAGTGCCAGTATATTCTCTCGCCGTGCCAAGGTTGCCGCAGCCATCGCCACAGGTGCGGCCGCCATGAACACGGTGCCCGCCGCACGACCACGCCGTGGGAAGAAGACCGATCAGGCAGCGGCAACGCAAGGCGGACAAGGGTACAGTAGTGGCAGCGACGACACCTCTTTGACCTCGGTTGTTGAGTGTCAGCGGGGAGACAGATACACGGGATTGCGGGGGTTCGACAATGGTGCCCGCAAGACGGGTGTTGGTAGCAGAAAGGGCTCGAAGAGAAGGAGGAGGGAGCGCGAGACGTCCAGAACTCGTGCCGGCGGTGCCGGTGGTGGAAAGGCGAATGCGCAAGCGAACAGAGAAGAAAGTGATGACCGCATGCATGTTTCTGTAGAGGGCGACGGGCACGAGCATGGGGAGGAGGAGGAGGAGGAGGAGGAGGAGGAGGAGGAGCAGTGGCAGAGGTAGAACGCACGGTTGGAGAGCGGTCGTGTTTGAGAAATGGGGTGCGATGACCCCTTTCGCCCTTGCCACACCAGGGACGCGGTTCTAGGGTTTCTTGGATTGTCGTAGACTATATTTGGTCGAGGAGTAGGGCTAGAGCAGGGTCGATTGTTACTTTTCAGCTTTTATCGATTGTAGCATTTTGCCAATATTGAGAGTATCTGGTCCTGGTTTTGCTGCATGACGTATGATACCAAGTCCACGAGCGGGAACATACCGTTGCATAGGTGATTTCGGAGGGAGCCTATTGGAGAATTTCTTCGGTGTCGGCATGTCGAACGCGAAGCAGGTTGGGCGGATGCGCGTTTGACGACGGTTGCTCCCACACGTTGCCCATGGCTCTGCGGGTTTGGACAATCGACTGGGATGCTTGCTGGCGGGGTGTGGGTTGCAATGACTATGTGATGCACCTGAAAGGTAATTTTGCGCTGGTGGAGCGGTACAACGCAATGTAGGATGAAAATCGGGCGATGAATGGGGCGGTTGTTGCCGTTGGTCTGTAACTCGATGACTCTCTCACTGTATAGGTCTCCCTCGGGAGGTGGCACAAAGCGAATAGTCAAGTTGGATATGCCCATTTGGGGGAGATGGTGGGATGAAGGCTGGTTGGGTCGCCAGTCAGCAATGAAATGCACGTGGTGTCATCTGCAGAATGGTCCTCGCTAGTGCGCACCAATTACATGGTGTTGTTTGTTGCTAACAGGCCCATACAGTTGCAGTTTTTCTCGGAGATGTTCCTCGTGGGAGTAGTACGACAAGGTGGTGCGATTCGTCAGGCCCTCTGTGTTGGGCCTTCTGTCCAAGGGGCCTTTTTTTACCCACTTCAGGGGGAGGCCTCTGCGAGTTGGCGGATGTGCCATGTGTCGGTGGAACGGATTGTTTTTTCATTTGCGAAAAGCCAGGAGAGGAAGTGAGACCCTACGGTGAAACACTGAAAACTGCCAACTATGTGCAGAGAGACTAGGGGATCATGGTTCCCTGAAAGATACAGAGGCGTCAGGCCGTTTCTACAGGAGGTTCACTTTTGAGGGGTACCAGCGTGTCTGTGATCATTTTTCGTTGGCTTCCAACTTGTCAAGCAATCCGAACCCGCGCACAGAAACATCAAGTCACATGACTGTCCCATTATATCCAACGTCGGGCTATCAAGCACTACCTCCAGTTCTCTCCTCTTAGATACTTGCACTATAAAACGGTCGCGCCTCCGTAACTGGGATGAAAAATGACCCAAGCACTTTGAAAGTGTTTTCGCGGACCAACCTGCGCGTTGTGACTACCCCAGCACCGAAACGAACACGACTTGGCGATTTAGGCGCGAGGCAATGTGGCAGCTCACCTCACGACACAGCGGAGACCCGTCTTCCAACAAACAAAAGAAAATCAAAACCCGTGCCGAACACGTACTATGTTACGGAGCTAACGTCGCACGAACCATATCTATCGTTCCCTTTGCCGAATACACCATTGCCATCCACCTGTACCATCGTACTTCGGCCGGCAAAGGAGGTCAGCACCTGGCATATATGTATAAAGCCAGGTATGTATCGCATCGTTTCATTATCAACCTGTAGCAAAAAGTCTCAAAATCATCACGAAACAGAGACTGAGTGATGAGCAAGGTGGACTCTAGTAGTGTCGACCGGGGATACCTGCGCAAGAACGTCTCCTGTTGCGCAGCCGTTGAGCGGCGTCACGGCGTTGATACGCTATGAGACTTGCTCAGTGTGAGGAGACAACCGAATGGCTGCTTTGAATCGGGAGTGAATGTAGTAGACCTCCGATACCCTCTGACCTGAAAGATTCCCTTGGAACGCCCACAGCTCTGCCGTACGCGGTTTCATACAGTCTCAACCTACTACAACCTCGCCAATCGCCTCAATCCACACGAAGCAGATGTTTCTCGATGCCTGTTGCGTACGGCACTGCCTTGAACTGTGTGCCGAGACGGCGAAGTTGAACACAACGCAGTTCTCGGTGAAGAGGGCCGATGAGGGATAGAGTGTGTGCCTGAAGAGCGGCTGCCTTCATACGAGCGAGCACCGGGGTAACTGCAGACTGGCTTCTCTTCAGCACGGTGCCATCAAGTATCAACCTGACGGAAATTCGCCTTGTCTCCAACCGTTACACCTCAACCTTCACACCCCTTCCCCCATTCAACACGCAGGGAACGGATAGTGGGCCAAACGAAGGTACCAATGAATTGGCTCTTAATGCCTGTGCAGAAGACTCTGCCCGACGTCTCCGAAGTGCCCACGTCAAACCAAGAGCCCGCACGACCGGCACACGGGTCGAAATACACATCTGCGAGCTGCGTTTGCTCGGCCGCATTTTCGTTTCGCCACACGACCACAAACATGTAGGAGTCTGGTGATGTAAATGGACGTGCAAGATCGAGGCAGATCGGCACGCCCTGCAAATTTCCATCGACGTCAGCTGCAGCTCCAATGTAGGTGCATCCCAGCGCTTCTCCCCTCCCGCGCATGCTTGGCTCAAGGCGACGATGAAAGCATCGAGGCACCGGGTTTGCCCCGGGAACAGCAACCAGTGCAAAGCCAAAATCAAACGAAAATAATCAACAATTGTTGAGAATATGACAGCTTCTCATGTCAATACAATATCGAGTGGCACCGGGGACTGCGAGGAACATGAAACGAGACCAGTTGCTCTTCTCCCATTGGTTGCGACACGTGATGGATCGACACTTAGTAGTCTCCGGAAACATGTGGAGGCAAATGCATTTTCAGTACCAGGGACATCGAAACTGGTGGCAAACGCTGCTGCTAAGAGAACCGGGCACGACGCGGGAATGTTCCCTTGGGGGATTGGTCATGTCTCGCACAGGGTCGAAAGCGGTCAACAGCTCTTGCGAGCACATACGAGGGAGCTCTAAGGATCCAATCAGCCTGCACTCATTCGATCGATTTTGCCAGCCTTTTACTCCAACTGAGACGTTTCCATCAACTGCACATTGAGCACCAGCTCCTCCTGCCGACGAACACAGGAGTTGCGCTGTGACTGGTCTGCTCGTGCGAAACGCCAAGAAGCATAGCATCGCAGATAGAGTACTGTAAGATTACCCCGCCCTAGCTAGCAAGGTGTGATGCAGCGTATTGCGCCAGTTTGCCAGCCTTTCTTGTTATTATGCGTTGGGTAGCGCCTGGCGATCAAGATCAACAACTGCCGCTTCTTTTCGACGGCTAGCTGCTCGATTTTTCGCTACTCCTGTGCTGTCGTGAACTCGAGGAACTGCAGCACCAACACACCAGCAGCATCACGAACAGGCCGCTTATATTTCCCACAAACTCCGCCTACTCTGTGCGCGGTGTGCTGGGTGCTATGTGTGCCATGTGTTGCCGAGACGGCGAGAAATGTTTGCGCCTGCGGTGCCCCTCGTCAAGCGTGTCGCCAATACTGACGAAAACTATCTGCTCTATTTGCTCTATATTTCCCATGCTAACCCTTTTCGTACTGGTCGCCCAAACGTGGACACCTTGGAAGCACAACGCTCGATTGTCTGTTTACCGCGCTGTACCTTGCACTAGGATCCGCTGTGTGACAAAGAACGGGGTGAATCTAGGCCTACCATACTCTGTGAGGTGGCAGCTGTGCGATGCATGATGCCTCTCCTCGGCCTCTGACTTGCTGTTTAAGTATCCTTCAAGTCATGTGCCCCCTTGTTTGGAAGTCTGCACAGCCTAGAACTGGAAAAAAGTAGGGACTTGTCTTCAGCGCTGAAAGTCTCCCCATGCATTTGGGGACGCTGCTCTATCTAAAACGAAGTCACCCGTCCCTCGGGATCGCTCAGCCTCTCCCAATTTGGCGAAGGCGATTTTTTCTGGATCTTTATGTATAACCTTAAAACGAACTGGGTTCTTAATAAGGGTCTCCCACACCTTCTTAAGCTTTGTTAAACCCCCATGGGCACAAATGGCATCGAAGTGCGTATGGGCTTCCCATGAGGAATGCCCACGGGCGAGCCCATGGGTAGCCCGTGGGCAGTCCATGGGCGGCCCATGGACCTTCAATGGGTGCCCATCAACAGAAACCAAGGCACTCCAAAATATACATTATCTGCTTTGGAAGGGGCATTGTAACGGCTAACAACCCTAACGTTGACCCTCACCCTAACCTAACTCCAAGCCCACAAGATACGTGCTAGGTTGGGGCTGGCCAAGTTCTAGGTTGATGGGCCGGTGCCTAAGTTTTAGGTTGACATGCTGGTGGCGAAGTTCTAGGTTGAAGTACCCAAGGTGGGCAATTTGTGGGCAGTTCATGGGTGGCCCATGATCGGTTTAGAAAAACTGCCAGATGTACGGGAGATCGGGTTCTGAGAGGGTTGAATATGATGTCGCCAATACCGACGGTGTCGACCTGCGAGGAAAAAATCGCCCAAAACAGCGAGACCAACGCTCCCGGGGAATTTGCACCCCGGTGTGTTTCACTACTGGTTGTAACTTGATTTTGCGTGGAAATCCGTACTGGCGCCCCCCGCGGCGTTCTCACACTCCCGAGAGGATGGACCCACAACCTACAGTGTGTCAGAGGATACAAGGCTACCAGTTGAACCGCAGCGGTTAATCTAAACCTCAATTCCGTCAAGTATGAAATGTCGAGCGCAGCATGTGCGGGTTGGGATATTCGTGACCTCGGCAAGCAAACATGGCCGCGCATCAGCGAGCATGACATATTTTTAGGCTAGGGAGGCTTTCGAAAGGTCGTGGACTCGGTGAAGGGGGTGGAATAGCATAAAACACATGTGAAAATTACGGGTGCTGCAAGTTATTTACAGTCTACAGATTACAGCACCTCAAACACTAGCCTAAACACTGCGGCGTAATTGTCGCTACACCCCCCCACGGTGCCCAGCCACTGCAATCTAAGAATCTAAGCTCCTACGACACATGTACAACAACGGAGGTACAGCCCGACCCGTCTCACCTGCAGCTACCTTCACTAACAGGTGCTACGAAGTCGAGGATTGTGTGGCACTCTTCCCCCTTTACTCTTGCTCCTCCGGGGCTCCTGCGCTCCGCCTGCTCCTCCCTGCTCCACTGCTGCGCTACGGACGGTGAGTACATGAGTACGCCACATTGCTGTGTAGAAGCGTATCGGTTCGGAACATGGGAACCTGGTTCGGAATCGTGCCCGAGCCGACGAGCAGGGGCACGAGGCACGAGGGCACGAGGGTAGTACGAGCCACGAGGCACACCCTCACAACAGGAGGATCCAACCCTATGACTATCTAACGGGGGGCTCGCCTCTTCCTTGGTGTCTTCACTCAAGAGAGAGAACGGGGTAGCATGGACAGTGAAGGTGAGGGGGATGAGTGCTACACTGATGTACGCAGCAGCTGCTACACAGCACTGGAAGACAACATCAACTCAATGCGGAATAATTGTACCGTCTGAGCGTTGCGGTGCTCAAGATTATCACAGCCGCGGAGAGTGTATACGGGCAGACAACACACGATGCGCCCCGCTGTCGATTGGCGATACCGAAAGTTAGCTGTTCCCAGCACTGCTAGACCTTCGCGCATTTAGCAGCAAACCTGGACCTCCTCGCTCTTAGCGGCGTTTTGGGTCTTCGGTGCGAACCGATTCTCGACAATCCCTGATGGAGGAGCATGTGCTCTTGCCGTCGTTATTCGGGTCAACAAGGCATCATGCCGTTTGACAAGTTGTAGCTCCTCAAGGAGCAACATCATAGGCCACGGATATTCGCGCAACTTGTGACCGTCACGATAATACACAGACTGGAGCTTGACTTTTTAGATGTTGTAGCAATTACGTCACAGAATTGTAGCACCGTTCCTGGGAGCACTTCTGGATGCCAATACATGGGCCCCACGTGTGTCAGGAATTTATACACGAGCACCAAATTTTGACACGAGACCAGAATTTTGACACGAGAGGTTACGCCGCACTTTTTCATGTCAGAATCACAGGTCAGAATTTTTCGAAAACGTGGTCAAAATATTTGCACCTGAGGTATTTTGACACGAGAAAACGACAAATTGACACGAGCGCCATCGCACATACACGAAGGCATCAACTCAGTCGGCAAGCTCGCACGCAGCTTCCCGCACACCCACACACGTGAACACAACGCTCCCGGGAGTACATCGCGTTAGAGGCACGTCAAGCCGCGGTTAGGATCGTGTGCGTTCATCGCGGGATAGAGAAGAAAACACGCCGAGGTTGGTCTGTCTGGACTGGACTCGAAGCACACGGGAGATAACCACAACAGCAGCTAGTCGGGTGCCCCGCCCGTGAAGGGAGAGGTTACAGCAGTTGTTGGTGGAAGAGACGGTAGCTCTGGGCGCACGTACTAGGGGCGCGAAGCCGCTGGCGGCGGTTGGGATTTGGGGAGTGTAGTTCGCGGAGTGTAGTTCTCGGGAGTCGGGAGGAAACATGTCTCCAGCTTTGCTAAGCTAAACATGGCCATCACGAGGAACATGTCCTCCTCTCCAGCTAGCGCGCACAACACAGCAAGCAGTAGAACCTGCATGCACTCATCATACCACTCGTAGAGGATTCTACCTCGCGCAAGGCGCGCCATCCCCTCGCTCCGTGTCGGGTGCGGTGATGAGGGAGCGCGACCGTTGGGTTTCCCGGCAGTGCAGCGGTGCAGCTGGGGTTGATTTTTTTTTAACTTGAGGCTGCGCCGCTGCTGGCCTTCGCCAGGCAACGTGCGGCGGAATATTTTTTCGTGTCAATTTACCAACCGGTACCTATTTTCGTGTCAATTTGCCAACCGTCACTTTTTTTGGTGTCAATCTATCTCAGTCCAAAATTTTCGTGTCAATTGAACGTGGGAACCCAGGAATGTCTCAGATTGCCAGACTTGAAGCTCCTGCTCTTTTTGTTGGAGACTTTCGCAGACATCGCCCTTGATATCTCGGTGAAGGCGGGATCTATGAGCCTAGAAACATCGGTGCTGTGTACACCACTACAAACCGTCCCCAAGCGCCCGGGTGCCTTCTCGAGCGCGGCATGTGTGCTTGTCTTGGTGATGATGGTGAGACGAATCCTGTGATCGAGGGCAGGAGAGAGCTTGTACCTTGTTGTCTCAATAACATCCGAACCAGGGCCGCGAAGAAGGTCCTTGTCCTTGTAGCTGCTAGTGTTTGTGTGTGGCCGTTGTGTGCCTGCCTGCCCGCATATCACCTGCAGCAGCAGCAGCAGGAGTGTACCGATCCTTCTCCCGTTCTACAGCACACTTGCGGTATTCTCAGTGACGTCACATCAATTCAAGTTTCAACCCGGGGAGGGTGTGCTAGCCAAAAATCCTCTCCTGGCTTTAACTCTGGGATCATATTTGATGGGCCTGGAGCCATTTGGTTGGTTAGTTTATGGCTAGGGCGGGTTCAGCGTCTATACCTGGCGTAAGGAGGTAGTATTCTGAAGTATTTTGATGGCAAGAAATTTTCCAAACAGTGGCCTTCAAACTTGTGATATTTCCCTAATTCTCAACTCCACTTCTCAGAAAGAAGGCGAGACTGTCAAATACGTTCCAGGGAATGAGTAGTAGTAGTTGTCTTCACATTAAACCGTATGTCAGTTGCTAAATGCCAAAATCTAGTAAAGACTCTCAGCCCGTGGTCACGAAAGTGCTAGAGCCATCTGAGGATCTAAAGAACACGCAAACATATAACGAGCAAAAGGTATCCATGAGCCCGAAGAGGTACACCTAAAAATCCCTGCAGCACCGTATGCGTGCCCAAAAATTGAACTGCACGTCCGTCCCACCGTTCGACTACAGTAGCATCAACCCCTCCCTGTCCCACTCTATACCAAAACGGAAGATTGCCGACTACAGCATACTGCTGTCTGAAGCGCTGTCTGTACAAAAACACCAAGGTAGGCATGGAATAAGCAGC